AAGGCAAGGCATGTGACCAAGGCGAGGCGTGGAACCAAGGCGAGGAACCTGGATGAGGCGAGGAGTGGACCCGAGGCGAGGGACCTAGACGAGGTGAGGAGTGGACCCAAGGCGAGGGACCTGGACGAGGAGTGGACCTGAGGCGAGGGACTTGGATGAGATGAGGCATGGACCCAAGGCGAGGATATCCCAGGTGCTGCAGTCTTTGTGTTGGTGACGTGAGGGGCGTCCTCCAGAACCCTCCCGGAACAGGAAATGTGAGAGGCATCCTCCAGGACCCCCTCGAGACAGGAAACATGGGAGGGGTCCTCCAGGACATTTCTAGAACAAGAAACATGGGAGGCGTCCTCCAGGACCCTCCCGGAACAGGATACATGAGGGGCGTCCTCCAGGACCCCCTCGAGACGGGTGACGTGAGGGGCATCCGTCAGGACCCCCTCGAAGCAGGAGAAGTGAGGAACATCCGCCAGGACCTCCTCGGAACAGGAAACAGGAGGGCTCAGATCTTCAGTGACAGGATCTTTGAAGATGGGTTCTTCTGATGCAGGGTCAGGAGCTGTCGTGGGACACGAGGTTGTGGAGCTGGGATCTTCTGCGGCAGGACCAGAAGCTGATGTGGAGCTGGGACCTTCTGCGACAGGACCAGAAGCTGTCTAACACGGACCCTCTGACGGCGCAGGACCCTCTGGAGGCACAACTGGCGTAGGACCCTTTGGAGTCACAGCTGGCGTAGGGCCCTCAGGAGGCACCACAGGCATGGAATCCTTGGTTGATGTAGCAACATTGGCGGACCTGGGACCCTCAGTGAATGTTGAGATGTCAGCAGACCTGGGACCCTCAGTGGACGTTGAGACGTTGGCAGACCTGGGACCCTCAGTGGACATTGAGACGTTGGCAGACCTGGGACCCTCAGTGGACGTTGAAACATTGGCAGACCTGGGACCCTCAGAGGACGTTGAGACGTCGGCAGACCTGGGACCCTCAGTGGACGTTGAGACGTTGGCAGACCTGGGACCCTCAGTGGACGTTGAAATGTTGGCAGACCTGGGACCCTAAATTGATGTAGAGACCTCTGAAGTGGCGACTGAGTCTTCGCGGCTGAATCTTCGACAGCTGAGTCTTCGGCGGTTGAGTCTTCGGAAGTTGTGAAGACCTCTGCAGCAGTGAAGATCTCGGCAGGCCGGGATAGACCAGACCGGTGGCCTGGCTGAGACATAGAAGCGGCGGACAGATCAGGAGCGATGACCTCGGCGAACGGACCAGGAGCTATGACCTCAGTGGACGGACCGGGAGCGAGGACCTCAACGGATGGACCAGGAGCAAGGACCTCAGGTGGTGGGTCAGCGACGAGGAGCTCTTCTGTGGCCGGATCTTTGGGTGCAGGTGCTGAATCAGGCGCTAGGACCAGGGCCAAGTCAGGTGCAGAAGCAGGGGCTGAGTCAGGCGCTGGAGCAGGAGCCGAATCCCTGGAACCTTTCTGCTGTTGACCTCTGCCGTGGCAACGACAGCGTGGCCCAGGATCGTACCGGAGCTCTTCCTTGGGCTCAGGGCATCCCTCAGAAATTGGCTCTGCAGCCAGGGAGCCAGGGACTTGTTCTGCAGCTGGGGAGCTAGGGACTGTCTCTGAAGCAGGGGAGCCTAGTTTAGCAGCAGGGAAGTCCGGCTCTTGGGCAGAGTCAGGAACAGGAGAATCTGGATCTGAGCCTAAAAAAGGGGCTGGTACTGGGGCAGAGTCAGGTTCTGTCTTCAAAGTTCTGAGTCCAGTATGAAGCTGCTGATATTCAGGACGCTGGATTAAACCGGGTTGGGATAACAGAAACTTTTCAGCAAGGGAAAGCACAGTATCTAAACAGTCCGGGTTATTTTTAGCAGAAAAAAGGAGGTTTTGCAAAGTGTGGTTTATTTGACATAATTCATGGGGTTGGAGCTGAGAAGTCTTTGGGCTAGACTTATGAGGAGCTCTATTCAGGGGTGAGGGGTCAAGATCCGCCCTCACCAGAAACCTGGGAGGTGAGGCGATGGGACCTGCCCCCATGGAGACACTGGGACTAGGTTCAGGAAGCTCAGTCTCGCCGGACTGAGCAGGAGCAGCTTGGAGCAATGGTAGGGTGTCGGGTTCCGCCCTCACCGGAACCCTGGGAAGTGAGGCGATGGGACCCGCCCTCGCAGAGGCACCGGGACTGATTTCAGTTAGTTCAGTCTCGCTGGACTGAGCAGGAGCGGCCCGGAGCGACGGAGAAGCGTCGGACTCTGCCCTCACCGGAACCCTGGGAGGTGAGGCAAAAGAATCCGTCTCCACTGCAGCGCCAGGAATGTTTACTGGAAGCTCAGCTCTACCAAGCCGAGTCGGAAACGTGGAAGGTGCTGAGATGAGCGCCATGGACCGCTTCCGGGTTCGGTTTCTGCCACTCCGGCGGTGGCAAGAAGGCTGAGGGGCAGAAGTGGAGCAGAGCTCGCCCTCCGGCTCTGCGTACTCCCAACGTCCACCCCGAATAGCCGAACAGAGCTGAGGATGAGGAGGAAAAGTAATCGTGGGTCACGCGGTCTCCCCGTAGCCGGGACCTTCTCTTTTCTTGGAGGACCAGGAGGGGAGAAGGCAGGATTTCCACCTCCTGGCAGTAACTTCTTTGTGCCAGCACGGGTTGGATCTGGAACCCGCCGCACCGGATCACGGTTTTCTCCATCTGCGTGGACTCGAGAGAAGATGTAAGTGAAGCCAAGGAATATGTCTGCTGGGTTCTGGTTTTGGTCGGTGCATACTGTCAGGGTTTTCAGGCTGAGCTGAACAAGAACGAACTCATGTGCAGACAGGACGCAGAGGCCAGGACATAAAATAAGAAAACACTTTAATAATAACAAATAAACAGCTGACGAGGCAGCAAACACTTACTAGTCAGAAAACACGAGGGATACAGGAGGATACCAGACAATGCACCGACAATGACTGAGACACAGACCAGAGCTTATATACACTCAGACTAGACGAGACAAATTACAAACACCTGGAGGACACGCGGGTGGAGCTGATCGGGGTAATTACTGAGAGACACTAAGGAGTACAGACACAGGGAGACTGACAGAGGGATACCATCCTTACAGTGCCAGGCTGCAATTACACTCCTGTTACTCCCAGGCTTTAAAAATGTCTGCTGTGGGGAAATCCAAGCTTTGAAGAGCTGCATGAGAGGCCTGGTTGTGTTATTATGTTCAGCTGCAGATTAAACTGGAACGAGGCTCATTAGGCTCTTTGCCTGGCTCCTGAGAGATGTTCTGGTCACAACGTGAAGGTGTGAATCGGAGTGGAGCTGGTTGGGAATCAGGCTTAATGCTGCATTGTAAGTAATGTGAAACCTTCTCTTGTTTTTTCTTGTTTGAAATATCTTTTTATCTCATCGTGTGACCTCAAAATGACAAGCCCTTCTACGATAAGGCCTACTTTGTAGGCCCCTCACCACTGTAAGCCCCTCAATGCTGTAGCCCCCCAACACCGTAAGCTCCCCAACATTGTAGGCCCTCAATGCTGTAAGCCCTCAACAATGCAGGCCCCCAACACTGTAGGCCCCCCATGCTGTAGGCCCCCAACACTGTAAGCCCCACAAGTCAAGTCAAGTCAAGTCATTAGGCCCTCAACAATGCAGGCCCCCAATACTGTAGGCCCTCCCCAATGTTTTAGGCCACTGAACTTCAACCCAGGTAAGTTCTGCATTAAGGCAGCCCAGTTCAGAGTTTACTTTGGGAATGACTTTACCACCACACCAAATTTTAGCTCAGTATTTATAAAATTAGTGTTATAACCTTTTTTTTTTGTTAAATAAGGTTACTAAAATGGCCATCTTGAATGGGGTTGAATGGGTGTATTTAATTGTGGAAGAAGCTTTGTTAGCGCACAATGTCCAAGACAAATTTTCCCTAGTAAGTAAGTAAGTAAGTAAGTAAGTAAGTAAGTAAGTATCATCTATCTATCTATCTATCTATCTATCTATCTATCTATCTATCTATCTATCTAAAAGGTCTTCAGTTGTAGATGAACATGGACACCATGGACCTTGCAATCCAGAAAGTGAAGTTGGTAAAAATGGATAGATATACAGCAAAATATAAATTGTAAAAGAAAAACAGTCCTAAGGATCTAAGCTATAATCTAAGAAATACACTAAACACTTAAAAATAGTGCAAAACAATATATAGGCCCAATACACTGAACAGCAGCACGAACATGAGTCCGTGTGAGTAGATGAGTACGAACACCGCAGCATGAAACAAATCAGCAGCATGAGATCAGCAGCACGGACAATCAGCAGCACATATCAACAATCAAAGTGGCATTACAGTGATTTTTTTTCACAGTGATAATCCTGATTAGGGATTCATGAGTCTAACAGCTTCAGGGTAGAAGCTGTTCCTCAGTCTAGTGTTTCTGCACTTAATGTTCCGCAACCCTTTTCAATGTTCTTCCATTGATTATTTTCTGAGTTTAATTAAAACCATACAGTGTTTCATTCTAGATTTTGCTATCAAACACACGCGCGCGCGCACACACACACACACACACACACACACACACACACACACACACACACACACACACACACACACACACACACACACACACACACACACACACACACACACACCAACTGGTTAAAAACAGTTTCACCCTTTACTTTTTGCGGCAGGTAATAAAATGCACACATCAAAGTCAGTCACAGTGGGCGTTAACAAACAGCAAGTTGACTTCAAACCTCTGCTCTGATCAAATCTGTTCACATAAACACACTGAACAGGTGGGTTTGCTTCAAAGAGTGCTTTAAATTGTTTTGTTATTGCCGTGTAACTAACAGTTGGGTGTATTGCTACCCTTGTGAACAGATCTTACCTTGTGTAAGCAGGATGAAAATATGTTACTTATACAGCCATCTTCTGAAGCAAAGATAGGCTTGTTTCTGTGGAGTAGCTACCAGCAGAATGTGGTGAAATCCATATTTTCAGTTTGTACTCACCCTGACAGGACACCTAGCACCAAATTGAGCATGAAGAAGGACCCGATGATGATGAGGGGGATGAAGTACAGCCAGTTCCACGTGTTTCCTGTAGCATCATTCGCCTGAACACACAGCCGAAGAAAAGCAGCATTATTTGTGTTGTCTGTGCAAGATGTGACAGTGTAGCGTTTTCTTCTCAAACAAATATTCAAAACAGTATGTCTCTGGAAATAAAATAAAATATAATATAAAAGAGTATTTCATTTCTAACGCTTAAATCCAGTTTTACATATTTATGTTTAAAACCAATACTTTATCATTATGTGTCAAAGTTGAGTGTCTCCCCTGAATTTCTGGCCTGGGGGTCAACAACACAAATACTTCTAGGTTTTGCTTGGCTTTTATTAACAGCAATTTGCATTTGCAGCTGCTACTTGTTTTATTTGTGTGTGCACATGTGAGCAGAGCCCTATAAAGAGAGAGTTGCGACACTCTTTGAACTCGCCGATACACGGTCACGTGGTTCATGCAGCTCCCAATAGTTCCAAACAGTTCATCGATGTCAGTCAGTATGAGCAGCTGCTGGCGCAACATAACACATAAATCGACTTTTCTTACTTTACCGGACGTCTTTCAGTGATTATTGAGCAGTAACGAACTGATTACTTAACTGATTACTGATTATTTCACAGACTACGCATTTTATCAAAGCATTTTTAGAAGCGGCTGATACATTTATCATTAAATTTTAGAAGGAAACGAGACTGCAAACACATATTTGTTAGAAAAAAAAGTATATGCAATACAGTGATCAATATAGCCATGTCAGTGTTTTATAACGTTACACACGTTAAAAAAAGATCAGAGTAACACCTGTTATAAAGTTATTTCTGATGTTCTCTGCAGGATAATGCTCCACCTTGTTCTCCATGCAGCATCAGATCTGCTCCAGCTTACCTTAGATCATCTGGATGAATTCTTGATTTCTATAGAAGATATTAATTCAACCTTTATTTAAACAGGTTCGTCCCACTGAGCCACGAGGACTCATTTACAAGAGAGACTGAATATAATTGTTGTATTTGTCGTTTTTTTATGGCAACCAAGCACCTGATAACTGAGTTGATTGTAGCCTGACAACTATTGTAAAATTGTAATTCATTGATAAAAATGTTAATTTAAATGAAACTGTTTCTAGTTAAAATCATAACAGATGACAAAATAAGTGTTAACTGTGCAAAAATAAATTTCCAAACAATTTATTATAAAATATGTAAAATGTAAAACAAGCTTTAATAAAGTACTTTTACTGCCATTTATACTGTTTATTAATGACATCATCTCAAGACAGCAGGAGCACCATCATCATCATCATCACAACAACACAAAGTGAGCGCTGTAAATTTAATCTGTACAAACATTTTCAATCAGGGCTCAAAATGTTTAACTGTCAAAGAAATGTGCAAGAAAATAAACTAATGTCACTCTACAGGCACATTTAGAGAGAGGACAGTTTACAGAGACAGTCAGGACGTGTGAGACTGAAGGAGGTTCAACCATTTGTTCATGGACCAGAACCAGATGAGAAGAACGGCAGAACTTCCACTGACCAGTGATCTGACCAGTGATCTGACCAGTGATCACATGTTGTTCTAAATTAAACTTTGGTACAAACAGTGTTACAATAAGACACGTCATATTTTTATTGAAGAATAATCTTCATTCTAACAGTGACGTTGTAATTTCAGAGACTGAGGAAGGAAGAAACAGAAATGAGGCGCGTGAGATGAGGGAAAATGAAAATGTGTCCTCAGAGGACGGGGACATTGTCAGGATCTGATGATCCAGGATCAACAGGACCAGGAGGATGAATCAACAGGCAGTCAGGGAACAGAGATGAAAAACCTGAGGGAACAATTAGAACACAAAAAATACATAAGCAGGACAGAAGAAACTCACAGGCAAGAAAATTAACTCAGTCCTGCGAAGAAAAATGTTAACAATGGAAAATAAATTGACATATTTTTACAAAAGATCAGATGAAGACAACTGGCATGAAGAAGAACTTCCAGCTCCATCTCAATGTACCTGTGATAGTTTAATAAGTATTTTGTTACTGTCCTACAGTTTATTGATGCTGATATATTCTTGGTAATAATTCTTATTTCTTGTTCTGTCTTGAAAGAGTCTCATCTCAACTTGACCCATGATTACCAAACATTAAACTAATAATGTAAAACTAATGTAATTTAACAGTCCTGCAGTAAATACCAACTTTGTGAAGGTTATAGTGTTAAAGTAAGTTCATTCAAACATCTTGATTAAGCTGTTATTGATTTGGAAGACAGAAAATGAGATCTTGTACCTCTGTGATACTTTGAATGCAACATTCAGTTCATGAAGTCATTCTCCTCTGGTTTATCTGGAAAACATGAAAAAAATTGACTCATCTTCACAATCACGTTTTTCTTTAATGATAATGTCACAATTTATGCTGCAGTCTTTGACAAATGATCTATAACTTGAACTAAATGACGTCAATCTTGTTGTCATGTTGTCATCATTCTTTGTTGAAATCAGGTTTCTCTTGTAAATGAGTCCTCGGGGCTCAATGGGATTTACCTGTAGAAATAAAGGTTGAATGAATCTCTCAGGAAAAAAGGCCAAATGTTTTCTAGTTGAGTTCAGTAACTGGAATTACCATTAATTTAAAAAACACCACCTTTCAAAATGTAAGCAGTAATAGATATTTTAAAATGTTGAATTAGAAATAGACCCGTTTAAACCGTCATGTTGCAGAGCAGCTGCAGTTAAAACACAACTAGCAATTTAACATGTTTCATTTCATTAACTAAAACTGGCAACATGAAGTATTAATGTTGATAAATTGTCGTACAGAACAGTCAGATAACGCTTCACAATGGCAAAAAAGTGTCGTATTTGCATCAACTTACCGGAGAAAACACGGAGAATGAACTACGTTCAATACAGGACCCGCTGCTGTTTGGAACTATTTACCGCTTCATGACCCACGTGACTTCTGCATTCCATTCTTTCTATGGGAGTCTATGGGAGTGTCGCAACTCTCTCTTTAAAGGGCTCTGCATGTGAGGTTTGGTACAAGAGGACCAGCTGTGATGGACACACGTCTCCACTGGTCATCAGATACAGTTCTGCTATTATCAGGTTCATGGAAGGATCAGATGTTCATGCTCCAGTTTAATACACTGTATTATTTTACATTATTATTGTTTAGTGTATATCTTAGATCCTTGTATACTGTTTCTTTTTATATTTTTGCTATTTTGGTGTAAATGAGACCTTGAGTACACAATTCCATTCCACCTCATGTACCACATGTGATGCAAATGACATTAAAGAATCTTGAACCTTGATTGGACCCAGAATGCAGATAAGGGCTCAAGGAGTTCAAAAATAAAACTTTTCTTTAATGGAAAAAAAAAAGACTTGGCAAGGCACCAAACAAAGCTCAGAAGATCAAAAAGATCAATCAGTCAATCAACATTAATTTATTACATTCAGTCAATCTTTATTTATACACGTCACGTTCCGCGCCGCACAAGCAGGGAGCCCGTCTCAGCAGCTTGGCAACAATGGAACTGATTTTTTTCTTGAAAACTTTGTTTTTATTTTCTTTTTTTATGGTTTCTATTTTTGGAGAATGCGTGAGCAACCACGCTCCTATTGTTTACTCTCGGGACCAGCTGCTTTCCATCCGCTCTGCTGTGCCTCCTCCTGCAGAGTGACCTGATGTCCCTCGCAAGCTGAGCAGGAAGAGATGCGGGAGACGTGCAGGCATAGGGTGTTGCAGCCAGGGCATAAGGTACAGACCTGTCCTGCCGTCCATCATTATGGGAAACGTGAGATCTCTTCACAACAAAGTGGATGAGCTGGCAGCTCTAGAGCGACATCAAAGGAGCTACAGGGAGATCAGCCTCATCTGCCTGACAGAGACGTGGCTGACTGAGTTAACCCCGGACTCACATATTAACATGGACGGCTTTCATTTACCCCTCCCTGGGCTGCCATCTTACTGTGGTGGAGGGGTTTGAGTGTCCCAATGATCCTAGGAGCTATGCTGTCAGGGGCTTTACGCCCCTAGTAGGGTCACCCAAGGCAGACAGGTCCTAGGTGAGGGACCAAACAAGGTGCAGCCCAAAGACCCCTATGATGAGAAAAAGGAATGGACTTGATGTTCCCTTGCCCGGACGTGGGTCACCGGGGTCCCACTCTGGAGCCAGGCCTGGAGATGGGGCACGCGGGCGAGCGCCTGGTGGCCAGGCTTTTACCCAAGGAGCTTGGCCGGGCACAGCCCAAAGAGGAGACGTGGGTCCCCCTTCCCATGGGCTCACCACCTGTGGGAGGGGCCAAAGGGGTCGGGTGCAATGTGGGATGGGTGGTGGCTGAGGGCAGGGACCCTGGCGGTCTGATCCTCAGCTACAGAAGCTAGCTATTGGGACGTGGAATGTCACCTCACTGGTGGAGAAGGAGCCTGATCTGGTGTGTGAGGTTGAGAGGTTCAGCTAGAAATTGTCGGACTCACCTCTACGCATGGCTCTGGCTCTGGAACCAGTTTCCTTGAGAGGGGCTGGACACTCTTCCATTCTGGAGTTGCCCCTGGTGAGAGGCGCCGAGCAGGAGCGGGCATACTTATTGCCCCCCATCTTGATGCCTGTGTGTTGGGGTTCACCCCGGTGAATGAGAGGGTGGCCTCCCTCCACCTACGTGTGGGGAGACAGGTTCTGACTGTTGTTTGTGCTTATGCACCAAACGGCAGTTCAGATTATCCACCCTTTTAGGAGTCCTTGGAGGGGGTACTGGAAAGTGCACCTCCTGGGTACTCCCTTGTTCCCCTTGGGGACTTCAGTGCTCATGTGGGCAATGACAGTGAGACCTGGAGGGGTGCGGTTGGGAAGAATGGCTCCCTTGATCTGAACCCGAGTGATGTTCTGTTGTTGGACTTCTGTGCTCGTCATGGATTGTCAATAACGAACACCAAGTTCAAGCATAAGGGTGTCCATATGTGCTCTTGGCACCAGGACACCCTAGGCCGCAGTTCAATGATCAACTTTGTCGTTGTCTCATCTGATCTGCGGCCACA